CAGGCGGTCTCCGCCTGAACCGAAGGCGAAGAACCAAAGTGAGAAAGAATTACCAGCCTCATGTGGTCGAGATCTGGCTGTTCCCTGAGGAAGTCAGAGTAGAGCTCGAGAAAGCGCTAATCTTTTGAGATTCTGCCGAGCATCCGATGCAAACAAGCTAGGGCTGGACGATACCAACTATTTAATGACGAAATTGGAGCGGAGAGGGGCAAACGAAGAGGGCGTCTGACGAAAGTGCCGTTCGTACTTCAATTCCTCTTCTGAGAGGCTCGAGTCCCTGTACCCAGGGCTTTCTTCCTGAACCCAGAACTTGCTGAGAAGATCATGAAACTTTTCATTCGAAACACTGACGTGATAAGTAGAGCAAGTGGTCTTTTGAGTCGATCCCGTTGGTCAAAAACGATCCAGCCAAAACTGGTCAGCTGAGCAACTGGAGCCTGCGGTCCTCCTTTAATTAAACTGGGCTTAATGAATTGTCCAAAGAAGTCAGCTCCGATGAGAAGATCAACTGGCGCAGAAACTCGAAAATGAGAATCAGCGAGCTGTAAATCCTCGAAATAATCCCACTCGAGATTCTCTGCTGAGAAGGTCGGCAACGAAGACGTGAGTTGATCAAGAACTTGAGCTGAAATGCGTTCGTCCCAGTGAATCCATTGAAGCGTGACGAACCAGACGTTGTCCCAAACGACGATTCACCGACTCCTGAGATGTGGATGGAACTACGCTGTTTCTTCAATTTCAACTGCCGAACTAGCTTATCTGAGATGAGCGAAAGCTCGGAGCCTGGATCCAAAAAAAGGCAAACTTGATACGGAGGGCAAGCATCGCTAATGAGAAGAGCTAAACTTATTATGAGAAGGAGTCAACAGGTTCGCTGATCAGTGAAGCAGAGCTAGTCCCATGTTGTTGTCTCTCGGAGCCTCTGGAAGTAGCTTGTTGAGACGCAGAACGTTGAGCTGGGCGACGAGAACGTTGAGCTGGGCGACGAGAACGATCTAGGTGCAGCAAGGTGTGATGCTTCTCTTTGCATTGGAGGCACGTGCGAGTCTTCTGGCAAACCCTGATGCTGTACTTCCCCAGGCAGTTAAAGCACAGATAGAGACGGTCCACGAATTCCTTTCGACCAGCTGGCGAGAGACTCCTAAACTGGTTGCAGGGGGCAATGTAGTGCTCCTCCTTGCAATACGAGCAAGGATACCTGACCGCCTAAGCCCACGATTGTGCTGGAGTGGACTGTAATTTTCGAGCTGGACCTTGAGAGTACTGCGATGGCTGGTGAGCTGATCGATTGGAAGTCATCGCGTTGACCTTTCTGCTGGGATTTGACGCAGGGCGAGGTTGTACGCTGGGCTGAGAGGATTCCGTCGAGCTCGAGTTGAGAGAACCAGACCCAACTTCCAGAGTTTCCATCGCCCTGGAACGAACTTGAAGGAACTCGGTAAGCTGCTCGAGAGTAGAATACTCATTCGAGGCACCGATCTTATTCTCCCATGCCTCACGAAGCTTGTTGGATAGTCAACGAACAATGACATGGACAACCACTGGACTCCACTCATCAGTAAGTTGATCCAGAGCTTTGAGTGCGCTGAGAGCTTCGGAGGCTGAGCTGGTCACTCGGTTGAGTTCCATAGCGTTGTGAGAGGACATTGGAGAAGTACTCAAGAGTTGATCAAAATGGGCTGCAACTAACAAGCCCTTGTTCTCGAAGCGATCGGTAAGGATTCCCCAAGTCATTGGAAAGGATTCCTCCGAGACGGGCAAATTCGAAATCAATTGAGGCGGTTCACCTCATCGACAAAGACCTATGTAATGCATACGCTCAACTCCCGGAATGTCAGGATTATTCCCGACCAGTGAGTGGAATAAGTCGCTTCATGGGCTCCACTCTGTGTAAATTTCAGAGGACTTCGGCAATTCAATTTCCGGTACGGCTGTGCGAGTTGTGTGACACGAGTTAGCGCCGAGCGGAGAGCCCCTCCTAGATTTGTTTATGGTAGGAGCTCCTTTTAACTCCATTAGCTGAGCGAGTGCGACTTTAGCAGAGCGAAAAGTCGCATGCGTTTTATCAAAAACTTGCGTCTTGAAATACGGAATTCCCAGAACACCTTCCACTTTAGCGCTACTTGCTATGAGGTTGTCGTGAGCAACTTCAAACTTCTTCCAATATTACAAGAGCATTTCGAGCATTGACTCAAGTGTGGATACCCCGAGCTGCGACGCATCCGTCTTCTTCGTATCCGAGAGTTTCTTCAATGAGAGTCGTACGCGACATCTGTAGGTTGATAAACGCGTCGAGAGAAGTCATATTCAGCGAGAAAACGTACGGCGACGACCAAAAAAAAAACCGAAATGGGAAAAAAACTCAAAGAACCAAAAAAACAATCGCGTAAGTGGCGCAATAATTGATTTCGGTTGTCCGGAAACGAGCCGCTCAAAATAACTGAAGACTGAAAGGTACACCTGCGATGGTCCCCAAAAGCGTAGAATGAAAAAAAACAATAAAATTTCGAAAATAATCCCGAATAATGTCCAAATTACGAAAAATTAATCTCCGACGCAGGTCCAGATGGTTGCAGGCACGAAAAATCCGAAATAATTTCAATAAAGGAAAAGAAAAATAAAATTCCCTTTAGAGAACGCTGGTCAATTTGAATTTCCCGCCTGGTCGGTACCGCAGGTCTCTGAAGTGTTGTAAGAACAACTGGTTGAGCAGCACTTACAGCCGGCCTCCGCTTCCCGCCAACTCGATGTCGAGAAGCCGCCGTTGAGCACCACTGCTCAGACACGGTCCGTATTTCACTCCAGTTCAAACACTTGAAAAATCTCGAAAAACTGAGAAATATTCCACAGATCCGGCTCGAAGGATCAAAATGTTCGATGCCGGGTCTGAGATCTGTGGAATAAGCGAGCGATGAGCGAGATGTAAATCGATTTTTAAGGGAGCGCGAGAGGGTCCAAAAAACATTACACATGCACGTTGGTCAACTCCGTCAATTTGATCACAATATAAAAGTAAAAAATACACTGATATAGGCACAGCAGAGATGAGTAGAATTTTTGCGCGGATCAACTAACAATTTAGAAGCGATGAACAACCAAATATTACGCAAAGCAATTAATAATGCGTCAAGCAAAAGAGAGTAGCAGAAAGCGCGTGCACTAGTCAACGGCCGATATCGAAATGAGGCCGATTAAAGGACCGCAAGGTGGCAGGTGTCGATGATCGAAGGTCCGAACGTGCCTCAATTTAAATGGGGGCATTCATACGATACCTGTCCATCAAGTGCCGCCTCAGATGTCATAGATGAGAGGCCACTGATTATCTCAGGCTATTGCGCAGGTCAGTTGAGCGTACCCATGCAAGCATGTGAGCGGAATGAGTATGCGTGAGTGTGTGCGTATGTGGGAGGAATAAATAATTAGGTGGAAAACCGAACATATACCTAATATAAATAATAACGACAATTTATTATTAACAAGGGCTGATAAAGGCCACGTTACAGTTGCATTGAACAAATTAAATTATATTAAGTTTGGTGAAATGATGTTGATAGATCAAACAACATATTTAGAAGCTCCAAATCATAATTTAGCAGTGACAGAAAAGGTAAATAATGAATTAATTGAATTTTGGTAACTTGAGAATTACATAGGGGAATGCATAAAAAACTTATTAACCAGAAGACATAGTTTAATTACGAGGTTGCATTTGTTACCCAAAATCCACAAAATAGAATTATCATACAGGTCTATTGTTTCCTCGATTGAAGGGCCTCTTCACGCCTTCGGAAGATATCTTCATAACTAACCATAACTTCTTCATAACTCCCATAACCTTTGATGGATAATCACTTTCCCAACGTGAAAAATATTGATGATTACATTGATAAGCTAAAGCATATTGAAATACTAAGTGGTTATAGACTAATTCTACTAGATATATCGTCACTCTATACAAGCGTTCCATTTGACCTGGTGGAAGCTTCAATAATTAAATACCGACATAAATTGAAGACAAAGGTTCCGTATTATGAGGTGATTAGAGGAGTATCGTCTCTAACGAACAATATATTTTTTAAATTCAATCGGAAATTTTACAAGCAAATCCAAGACCCCCCCTGTAGCGCCTCGCTACACAAACACCAACGCGTAACACACGCACGGATACGACAACGCTGAGAGACGACTGGACATCGGTGATATCATCGCGCTCTGTCACGCGCCCAGTAAAAAATACCTCTCGCTCGCACCTATTGTCATGCGTATCCAAATTCCCGTCTTACGCGGTTTAAGATAGTCAGTAGAATCTACCACTGACCTCCGATCAGATCACTTTGATTATTCTTTCTCTTTTGTATATATTCTAAACGTCTTGATTAAACAGTAATTTATATTCTAGATTACATTTGTTAGTGAATTGTTACATCCTTCAACAACCTCAATTCCTACATTGGTGACCCCGACGTGATCTAATTAGGGAAATTCGACGTTTTAAACGACAAAAGTGAAAACCCTCGCGTCTCGCGCGCGTGCAGTGCAACTGAAAAATTCATTCTCTCGTCTACGCGTTATCATCCGTTTTTCCGGACAACACGCCGCGACTCCGTTTTTCAAGTGCTGCAGTGAATCTCGTGAGTGCCTTCTACTTAAGTGGCGCGCTTCTGAAAATAATTGATTTCGTTGTGTGACCCACGTTTCGGTTTTTAAACGACGGCGTCTCGGGATTTCTAGAACATTCCAACCATCCGAGCGTCAAGACCTTGGTTTCCAATTGTTCTCGCGGAACCAAAACAAACCGAATAAAAGTGATATCCGAGTGAATATTTGTGACCTCGCGCCGACACATTGCCGAACACCCATAGACTGTGTTGTGTTGGTGACAAATAGAGACTACAACAGCCTTTATTTTTCTCACAAATTTATTCCTTAGGTTTAATCGCGCTGTGAAGTAAAATTCATCGATTTTATTTCTCTCTGAAATAAAATAAAATTAAATCGACATGGCAACAACAGCAGCTGACATCCAAACAACTCCCACCGTAATGACAGCAACGGCTACAATGAGGCCCAGGCTCATCGCAAGGCCCTTCGACGCGGACAAACCCGCGCTATGGTTCGCGCAGCTGGAGACACAGTTCGCTGACCTGGGATACGTCACCGAGTCAGATAAGTACAACAAAACGGTACCGCTGATCGACACTGCTTACGCGGCAGAAGTTGAACATTTAATTGTCTCCAGACCTGTAACAAATCCATACCAAACATTAAAAAACGAACTAATCAGATGTTTCACAAAATCCAGAACTGCGAACATCATCCAATTGCTCCACAGGGAGAGCATTGGGGATCGAACTCTGGGCGTCGAAGCACCTGAGACATTTAAAAAGTCTTGTTCCAGGCATTGACGACGAGGTCCTGAAAACGCGCTGGTTGTCTCATCTCNACAAAATCCAGGACTGCGAACATCATCCAATTGCTCGACAGGGAGAGCATTGGGGATCGAACTCCGTCGAAGCACCTGAGACATTTAAAAAGTCTTGTTCCAGGCATTGACGACGAGGTCCTGAAAACGCGCTGGTTGTCTCATCTCCCCGAGCAAACGCGAGCTACACTCGCTACCCAGGAGAACGCTTCCATTGATGATCTCGCGAAGCTAGCAGACAGGGTGCACGAAGTATTTCACCCAAACAGCGTCGCAGCGATCACCACATCAGCAGGCAACGCGACCAACGCAGCACTCCTCAAGCGAATCGAACAGCTGACGGCAACTGTCGCAGAGTTACGATTGAAAGACTCACGCTCGCGCTCACGCACACGTTTAGAGTACTCACGTGGGCAGCGTAACAACTCACGCCGACGCTCCAGCTCCAGGAAAGTATTAAAGAAATTCGACACCTGCTGGTATCATCACAGATACGGCGAAAATCCGCGTAACTGCCAACCTGTTTGTAAGTTTCAGGAAAACTCCAACGAGAGACAATAGTGGCGGAAGTCGTCTCTCATACTAAATCCCGCCGCATATTCGTAGTAGACAGAACGACTGGGACCCAATACCTTGTGGACACAGGCTCAGACGTCTCTGTCACGCCTTGCAGGCCGCCAGCAAAACAGAAAGACACCAGCGGCTATCAACTCCTCGCAGCCAATGGAGNAGACTTCACATGGCGATTCATCGAAGCAGACGTCAGTAAACCCATCATCGGTGCTCACTTCCTGCATCACTTCAATCTGCTACCGGACTTGAGAAACGGAGCAATCATCGACAGCGCGACAGGCCTCCGATCGCATGGCCAGTCCGTGCGATTCCGCGCGACGTCTGTCAAGCTCCTCGAGATCAACGAGGATTCACCGTACGCGTTGATCCTCAAAGAGTTCCCAGCAATAACAAAACCGGGAGGATTGCTCAGAAAAGCGGAGCACTCCACCGTTCATCACATACGGATAACACCAGGACCACCAATCTCCTGCAGAGCTCGCCGCCTAGCGCCGGATAAACTCAAAACCGCTCAAGCGGAGTTCTCCAGCATGTTGACGCTCGGAACCGCGAGGAGATCTGAAAGTCCCTGGGCATCCGCACTCTACCTAGCTCCTAAGGGCAACAACGGATGGAGGCCATGCGGTGATTACCGCGCACTCAACGACAGGACAATACCAGATAAGTATCCTGTTCATTATCTAGAAGACTTTGCTGCCAACCTTCATGGCAAAACAATCTTTTCCACCATAGATTTGGTTAAAGCCTTCAACCAAATTCCAGTGGCACGCGAAGACATCCAGAAAACGGCAATAATCACGCCATTTGGACTCTTCGATTTCCCATACATGACATTTGGCCTCAGAAACGCAGCTCAGATATTCCAACGTCTGATCGACGAGGTCACACGCGATCTACCATTTTTGTTCCCGTACATAGACGACATCTTGGTAGCATCGGAAGACGCAGAGCAACATCGCGAACACCTGAGGATCCTCTTCCAACGACTCTAGGACTACGGGCTGTTAATCAACGTCGTCAACTCAGTCCTCGGACAGCCAGAGGTACTTTTCCTCGGACACGTGATCAACGCTCAAGGAATTAAACCCCCCAAGGATTGAGTCAACGCGATCCTGGAGTTCACAAGGCCAACAACGGTCAAATTGCTACGCAGATACCTCGGAACTCTAAATTTCTACCGGAAGTTCATCAAAGGAGCAGCAGAAATCCTCGCCCCGCTGAACGCCGCGACTCAGGGGACGAACGTCAAGGGAAAACAACCAGTAGCCTGGTCTCCACCCCTTGAAGAAGCATTCACGCGCAGCAAGCAAGCGCTAGCAGAAGCCACTCTGTTGTCTCATCGAAATATCGAGGCAGAGTGGGCTATCTTCACAGACGCGTCGGATCACGCGATCGGAGTCGTTCTACAGCAGGAACACCACNCCACTGATCGACTCGAGGATGCCAACAGTAGTCAATGCGATTCTTTATCACTGGATCGCGCGCTTCGGCATCCCCCTGAGAATTACATGTGACCAATTCTTCTCAGACACCTTCAAGGAGCTTACGCGAATTCTGGGCACCGAGAGGTTGATGACGACGCCATTTTATCCTCAATCAAACGGCATGGTTCACAGAATACATCGCCAACTGAAAGCAGCACTGCGATGTCATGGCGAAGCTTGGTACGACGCACTTCCCCTGGTACTTCTAGGGTTGAGATCCGCGTGGAAAGAGGACCTTCAAACGACTCCCGCCGAGCTAACATACGGGGAACCGATCCATCTACCCGGAGAATTCCTCATTCTATCGAACCAACGAGCAGCAGCACCGGAATTGGTGAGAAACCTACGCGAGCATTTCCGCAGGATCGCACCGACTCCCGCTGCACGTCACGGTACACGTTCAACTTTCATCTTCAAGGATCTAGCGACGTGTACACATGTTTTTGTCCGCGATGACCACGTGCGAATGGCATACCGATCACCATACATCGGCCCATGCCGCGTAATCAGTCGTCATGACAAATACTTCGTCATTTGGTACAAGTCCGGAGGATTGGGTGACTACAAGAATACACCGATCTCCATCGACCGATTGAAACCAGCGTACGTACTGCCGGAGGACATGGACCAGATCCAAGGACAGCCTACACCGCCAGACATACCAGAAGAGCCTCAACAACAACAGAATCAGCCGCAGCCGAGCACGAGCACGGCGAACAGGACTCAGAGTCTGAGGAGACGCGTAAACTTCGCGAACAGACCGACGATCCACGTCTATACTGTCTAAATTTCCTCATCAAAAATTTTTTTCACCTGCTTAATACATTTCACCTGTTCCGAGATTAATTTTTTTCTGTTACAGTGCTGAAAAACTACCTTTTTCACTTAAGCAGGGGAGTCATGTAGCGCCTCGCTACACAAACACCAACGCGTAACACACGCACGGATACGACAACGCTGAGAGACGACTGGACATCGGTGATATCATCGCGCTCTGTCACGCGCCCAGTATAAAATACCTCTCGCTCGCACCTATTGTCATGCGTATCCAAATTCCCGTCTTACGCGGTCTAAGATAGCCAGTAGAGTTTAACACTGACCTCCGATCAGATCACTTTGATTATTCATTCTCTTTTGTATATATTCTAAACGTCTTGATTAAACAGTAATTTATATTCTAGATTACATTTTTTAGTGAATTGTTACATCCCTCAACAACCTCAATTCCTACACCCCCATGGGCCATTCCGCACCGTTAGCCCCGATCTGCGGAAATCTTGTCATGGGTGATTTTTAAAGGTCGTGTCTTAAGAAACTCAGCTACGAAGTTCCATTCTTCTTCAGATATGTGTATCACATTTTTACATGTGTACCTCATGATGGAGTAGACGAAATTTCGGGGCATTTTAATAACTGCAAACCGTCGTTTGCAATTCACTCATGAAATAGAGACGGCGAAGGCACTTCCTTTTCTTGATGTTGTAGTGATTCGAAGGAATAACAGTTAGTTTTCGACAGGTACAGAATCCTACGTGATCAGGTAGGAGGTTAAATTACATTTCGTGCCATCCCATTTCACACAAAATTGGGGATATCAAGAATTCAACGGACAGAATATACAAATTTTCAAGTGAAGAATTTACACCGAAAAAAGTAACCTTTATGAAAACAATTTTAATGTTCAATGACTATCCCCTTCAATTGGTAAATAGAATAATATCGGAAATGGTCCGCCAAATAAAAAACAACTCTATTGGGATGAACAAAGATACTTTTACTGAAAGCATTCAGTAAAGGAGGACCTTGTTTCTGCCATACATGAACTCTTTAAATGACATATTAAAACGGGCTTGTGATAACTTTGACGTTCGATTAATCCCCAAGGTCAAGAACAAATTACATCGAGTTTTTAAAACAACAAAGAATCCTGTGGGGACTGAACTTTTGTCCCGAGTTGTTTACAAAATCCCGTGTAGTAATTGCAATATGTGCTACATGGGTCAAACGAGACGATGTTTTGGAGATAGATAAAAAAAACATAAATAGCGAAAAGAATGCTGATAAATATCGATCTGGTCTGTCTAGTCACGTCAAATCGATAAAATACAAATTTGATTCCGATATTTCAAGAATTTTAGAACGACAGTGCGATAACTTCAAGAGAGAGATACTAGAAGTGATGTATATTAGAAAATACAATGATTGCATAGTGAACTTTGTGAATGACTCTAGGAAATCAGGATCAGCATAAGATCAGATTATCAGATTTCATTAACGAATATTGCGGGATTGATATAAAATACAATTAAGTGCGATTGTTCTGTGATAAAGGAATGAGTGTGGCACTTGGTACCACCGATACCATCTGTGAATCACTGGTGAAAGTTGATGCTTAGTGAGGCTCTACATTCATTTTATTTCATGAATAATGGCTGTAGCTACTCTGTATTGTCTTTACATTCATGACTAATTTGCAGTGTAGATAATGTCAAACTTCATCCGATTAACATGACAGAACGTAAGTATTTTTTGCGGGCAATTTCTTTTCCGAATTTTATTTTTGAGATCCTGACATGGCGGGATATTTTTCCAACAAACCATTTGATATTCATTTGATATTCTAAATTTTGATTTGGAGGAATAAGAAATACAGTAAGTGCATTGATATCGTTAAATCACTGCATTGGTGGTGTTATCTCCAGGGTATGCCTGTTTGTTTACATCGTCAGATGACAGCTAGAATTGAATTCTCAAAGAAAATCTTCTTAATTTTGTCTTAATTTCGGTAAAGATATGGGGCTTATGCAATAGCTTTAACTTGAATAAAAAGTTTGTCAGTGCATATATTTATTAATCTTCATTCCGATGTTTTTAGAATAATAAATGTACCTGATGAGGAATGCTTTATGCATTCGGAACGTAGTGCTATTAAAGTAGTTCATACATTTTTTCTTTGTGTTGTTTATTGCTCTTGACCGAAACATGGCCCAGAAGAATTTAAATAATTTAAGAACATATGGTCGAGAACAACTAGTCCATTTAGAAAATGAGACATTATGGAAGACATCTTGAAAATTCACAAATCTATCAAAAAGCCAATCAATGAGTCACTTTCTCACTACGAGATTCATTCACATCAACTCTTTGGTTCATCGACGTACGGTAATAATGATGAAGTTTCAATTACTGTGCAACATCAAGATTTATGTTTATTGCCTAGTGGGGTCATCTAGTAGAGTTTAGTAGAGTTTATTCCCTAGTGGAGTCATCTACATATTTATGGTCGACTGACCAAAGATAATGGAACAACACCAACAGAGAGAACCAGATTCGTGAATAGCGCCATCTGCCATTTATTTGAAGAGATTCGGTATGAGCTCAAAGGAGTGGAGATTGATCGAGCAACAAATGTGGGTTTAACGAGTCTTATAAAAAACTATGTTGCCCAGAGTCCTAACCAATGGTTTCTAATGAAGAATGCTGGTTGGAGCAGGCATAATAGCATGGATAGTAATGAGACCATCAATGATAATGCAGGATATTTTCGTGTCTGAATACCACTGAGCCTCCTCCTTGGCTTTGCTGAAGAATACCAGAAGATTGTTGTGAATGCAAATCATGAGCTCATTATCACGAGATCGAAAACAGACATCAATCCGATACTTCAGAGAACTGTACACCAAGAAAACCCTGAGGAGAAATGAAAGATTAATATTCAAAAGATTGAGTGGTTAATTCCTTATGTTAAAGTGTCTGATAAACACAAGGTGAAGTCGCTCAATTTCATCGCAAAGAATACACCTATTCTGATGAGCTTTCGTACATGGGAATTGTATGAGTATCCTCTTCTCCCCGCAACCTCGAAGCATATTGGATTGTGAAGAACTCATCTCAATTGGAGAAACCACGCTACGTTATTCTTGGATTTCAAACTAACCTAAAAAATATCCAGACAACCAATGTCAGTGACTTCGATCATTGCCATATCCGGTATGTAAAGCTTTTCCTCAACTCACAAAGCTACCCATATGGCAATTTGAATTTTTATATTGTTCACAATCAATTTTCCACACTATACAATATGTATGTGAACTTTCAAGGTTCTTATTATGCAAAGGAATCTGACCCGTTATTGAAATGAGAAAAATTTATAACAAATGCTCTATTAATTGTAATCGATTGTAAACAGAATGAGTATTTGGAAACTGGCTCAGTTGATTTTCGTCTAGAATTCGTATCTCCTTGGCCTCTCGCACCCAACACCTCAGCGTACTGCCTCATCCTATATCAACGGATTGTTGAATACAATCCTATCAGTTGTGGCGTCAAGGAACTAATGTAAATAATCGAGTCTGGAAGGAATAATGTGATAATGCGGATAAAATCAGTATCAGTTTCATATCAACTTCCGGAGCAGCTACTTCGCCAAAAATGAATTAATGGAAAAACGATAATTCCAAATATTCGAGTACAAAGAATTACTCAGACTATCAAATGAACACATCTGT